ATGGGGAGGGTTTGGGGGCCCCTCTTGGGTTTTATAGAGGAAAGCTTAGGGGCCCCTGAGAGACTGCTGGGGGCCCCTGGGGGCCCCTTGGTTTGTTAATGTTGTGATAAGGTGGAGAGGCGTCCTTGTATCAACCTGTGTTCTTATACTGTCTCTTGCTGCTGCTGCTGTTGCTGCTGCTGCTGTTGCTGTTGCTGTTGTTGCTGTTCCTCGTGCTGCTGTTGCATTTGCTGTTGCTGCTGCTGCTGCTGCTGCTGTTTGCAACGAGCTCGGCAATTGCCTGCAGCAGCGGTTTGCTGGGGAGCAGCAGCAATGCGGAGCAACAGCAGCAGCTGCTGCTGTTGCTGCTGTTGTTGCTGCTGCTGCATCTCCTGTGCATCGAGCAACAAAACAGGTGCAGCGCTGCTGCCTTAGCAGCAGCAGCAGCAGCAGCAGATGCTCCTCCTCCCTAGCCAGCTGCAGCACAACGCCCGTTATAGGTACGCAGCTGCTTATCTAGCTAGCTGTTTGATTATCTAGCTACACAGCCTGCACTGCCTAGCTGCTTGCATAGCTATCTAGCTAGCTAGCTGTTTGATTAGGTAGCTACACAATAGGCTAACAGGACACGCTAGCTGCCTCAATAGCTAGCTGTTTGCATAGCTAGCTAGCTAGCTAGCTGCCTGCATAGATAGCTAGCCGGCTAGCTGCCTGCATAGCTAGCTAGCTAGCTAGCTAGATGATTAGCTAGCTAGCTGCTGCAGGCCGTACATGGCAATGCGTTTGTCTTTGTTTTATTTATTTATTTATTTATTTATTTGTTTATTTATTTATTTATTTGTTTGTTTGTTTGTTTTATTTGTTTATTGCGGGGCCGTCTCTGTCTCTTTGTGCTGCTGCTTGCTGTCTTTGTTTGTTTGCTTCTCAGTTTAATTATTTATTTATCTCCGGTTATTTTATTTATTATTTATTTATTTATCTATTTATTAACTATTATTTATTTATTTATTAACTATTTATTATTTTATTTGTCTCCCTGTGTGCAATATAAAAGACAATATTAATCTATATCTATGTACAATTATATAATATATATATAATATATAATATATATATATATGTATATATGTATATATGTATATATATTATATAATATATATATATATATATATATATATATTAGTTGTTTACATTTGTGTGTGTATATCTTTG